TGGCATAGAATTACGTGAGGGACCCTGGCCTCAATGACATAGTTCTGCATGACAGCCACTGAAAGGGTTAAGAGTTCCAAATAAGGAACATAATAGCCAACTGTGGCCTTATGGCATATGGATGGCTGACACTGCAACTAGATTGTGACCTCACTACACAACTTTCTTGTTTAATAACTTTCAATAAATAGTATATGAAATAGGGGAAGATTCATAGGAAGTGGCAGAGAGCATGCATATTCCCTTTGTATAAAGGAAAAGGGAACAAAAGGATATAAGAATTATTGGGAAATAAGCCTGTTGATTATACCAGGTAAAGTGTATGATAGTTATTATTTAAAGAATTAAAGGTAAAACAAAGAGCGGGATCGCAGATGAACAAGGTTTCAAGAAGGGTAGGGGATGTGTAGCTTTTAATTCATTTATAGATTTAGAGAAGGCATATAATAGGGTGGAAAGGTGAACAAAGTGGCAGATATTGCAAGTATATGGAATAGGTGGTACAATACTGAAAATAGTTAAGAGTTTTTATTCTGTGAGTGGCAAATTTTGGCCTAGACATCACTGAGAGAATGAATCTCTGCAGTGGGTGTGTGTGCAGGGTAAAAAAAAAAATATCCTACCCCCATGCAGTGCATGGTGGGAACAGCTAGCCTTAGACCTTGCTTGCGTTAAAACAACAACTTTAGGGTATTTTCTAGGGTGGTTTTTATGGTTTTACTGACAACTATAGAAGTAGCCAGGAATGAGTTAAGTTTGAGAATGGAACTGACTAAAAGTAGGCAAATTTGTTGTTGCACAAAAGTGCTCCCTGACCTCCAATTTTGCATGTGCATAATGTGATGTTACATCAAAGTTTGTATTTTTAGTGCCATTACTTTTAGAAAAAGAATCTCTACCATATTTTTATTTAAAAAAAAAAAAAAAAAAGACAATACAGAAGGGACTTTCAGTTGGGATGGGGGGGTGGATGGGTAAGGGGATGGGGAGGGGGATGTTTCAAGTTTAGAGGTTAAAAGCACAAGAATGCACAAAGTGTAATCGTGTTATACTAGCCTGTGTGTGCAACCTTTACCTCACAACAGCACATCTCCATTTCTCACACAATTTTCTTCCTGGACTCACCATGATTATCCACAGAAAAGAAAGGGTGATGATAAAATGGAAAATAGAGATCAATACTAAGCAACAATCCTACAACACAATTCAAAGCAAACTGACCGTGATTTGTTCACATCATGAAGTGAACTTCAGCCTCCCCTACACCAATGGTCCTGCCAAATGTGGTGAGTGATATGACATACCATAGTGGCAATAATGTGCTACTACTGGTATGAAAAGGTAAGTTTAATTCCCAATATTGAAAACACATACTTTGGTCACATGACTAAAGAGGTTTGCCTGTGTAAGGTACTGGAAGTATTTCAAAAACATATACACATATCTGGAGTTTATCTGGAGAGAGTTCCGGGGGTCAACGCCCCCGCGGCCCGGTCTGTGACCAGGCCTCCTTAGGTCAGTGTCCCAGGATGCGACCCACACCAGTCGACTAACACCCAGGTACCCATTTTACTGATGGGGAACATAGACAACAGGTGGAAAGAAACACGTCCAATGTTTCTACTCTGGCTGGGAATCGAACCCAGGCCCTCACCGTGTGAAGCGAGAGCGTTAACCACCAGGCCACCAGAGCATATGACAAATTCTTGCAATAATTAAATAACAAGCACACAAGTCTATAAGTAAAATATGCTGAAAATAAAATACTGCTCAGCAGTGTAGCATTATTCATAAGAAAATACCTTGGAATACTGTACAGTATTAATATATTTACTCCTTCCTCTTCCCAACCTCTCTTCTGCCTTTTCTGATTCAGCTGTGATTTGACAATGGTCCCCAACAGAGCAAAAAGCCATCTTGACTTTGTTTTCATTAGCATGGTTTTTTGTTAACTGCGCCAGCAAAGCAGATGTAGATGTTCTCTCCTACAATTTGTTAGCACTCCATGTAGCACATCTATAAAACCCCCTTATAGAACTTACACTAGGTTTTGTGTGTTTTAACTTACTTTATTTTATAGATATAGTCCTAGTCCAGGACCAGGAAAAGCAGGAAAAAGTTGGTCCCCAAAAACATCCTTCAGGTATTTTCGTATCTGTGACATTCATTCCACAAGAAGTTTCATGGCAGGTTAATCCCCAGAAATAGATCTTATATTTCAAAGAAAAAAAGATAAAATGAGTTCTAGAACCTTGCGATCTCATACCCAAAACATAATCAGTACATTAACATTATTTTGATTAGCACAAAAGGTTATTTAACAGAAGAATATTTAAAGAGTACGGGTTTTAAGTTCCCTACCCGAAATTAAAAAAGCTCTAAAATCCGAAATTTTTTCGAGCGCTGACATGACCCCCGTTAAATTCAGTCAGCTCTGGAAAGGGGTTACAGGTTGGCACAGACAGTTGCAACACTTACCCACAACCCGGGTATGTGAGGTCAATGATTATGGCTCTGTTGGTACCAGTTAACAATGGTCATCACTGCCGACCTATGGTATTTCTCACGTGATTACCATATTTTTTGCACTTGTTCTCTGTTTTGGGGGAAGTTTGTTGAAAAGTCAAAAAAGGCTGTATATACCCCCCATGGGTAAAGTGAAGAAAAAATACTGTCAGACCTTTTAATCAAAAACAGCTCCTAGATGGAACTGAAAGCCTGCTACTGTTTGTTGTAGGGTTTTAACAGTGATGGGTATTCTGCGACTGCTTGCGCTTTTATTTAAAAAATTTTTTTTTATTATTAAAAAATACCTATAAAACTACCCCCCCGTTATGTTATGTGCATAGAAATTTAAATGAATTTCATGTTTAATTGGGTTCCAATCCCCCAAGGCTATTTTATTTTAAATTTCCCAAAATTTTAAAATTTTTTAAAATCTGAGACATTCTGGCCCCAAGCATTTGAAAAAGGGTATTGACCTAATAGCAAAACTAATTGCATTTTTTTGGGGGAAACCATGGTGTGGAGAGGACAAAAATAAGTTTGGGGGCACAAATTCTGGAAAGTAAACTCAGGGGTACTGAGGGAAAAAAAGTAAATTGATTTTTTGAGAAAGTTTTTTAAAACATGAAACAATTTAAAAACATAAGATCGATTTTAAAACCCGTATAAGCTAACAATTTAAAGGAACAGGCTGACAATCTTGAGCGTTTTGCCACCGATTTCATATTTTAAAAAGGATACAAAATACAGTTGATGAGCAAAAAACACATCTTTTTCTGTTAAAACATCTTTCCTGTTAGCAGGTTTTTCAGTTTAATAAGTGATTTAAAATTTCCGTTTTAATTACCCGTACTGACTGAAACAAGCCTGTTGTGAAAGCTAAACTTTTCAACAATAAGCACCTCACTGATTCATGCATCTTACTCCACATCAAATTATAAATTTCACTGACCTTGCAACGCAATAATATAAACCTGTCTTAAACAAGGAAATGCATTACCCAGTTTTTTGGCTTTATATAAAACAAATGATAAATCATTTTACCACTTTTGAGAAAAGGAAAAACTTTGGCATTTCCGTTTAGCTCTATGTTACATACAGTTTGTGTGTTGGGGGGGGGGGGGGGGGGGGGGGGGGGGGGGGGGGGGGGGGGGGGGGGGGGGGGGGGGGGGGGGGGGGGTGGGGGGGGGGTGTGTGTGTTGGCTAAGTCATATTTTTTGCTTAAAATTTATTATAACAGTTTACATAATAAACAGACAAAAATTTCTAATAATAAATTTTCAATAAAACAAGATATATTCAAAGGGCTAAATCTATCTGTAATGAATATTCCTGGAAACTAGACTAACTTGTGAGAAATGCTGGAAACAGCAATGAAAAAACAAAAGAAAAAAATTTCTTTGAGGAATGCTGTATAGCAACGAAGAAACAAAGAAAAAAGTTCTGTGAGAAACAGGAAATAGCAACGAAAACAAAAGAAAAAAGTTCTTGTAAAAATGCAGGAATTGCAACGAAAAAACAAAAGAAAAAAGTTCTTGTGAGAAATGCTGGAAATAGCAATGAAAAAACAAAAGAAAAAAGTTCTTGTGAGAAATGCTGGAAACAGCAATGAAAATAAAAAAATATAAAATTCTATGAACTTTACTGTCAATATTGTTAGTTTTGTACACAATAATCGGCTATCAGGACAAAGCAAGAGTAATGAAGAATAAATAATTGTGCAACAAGATCTTTTCCATCGGTTTGAATTCTGGAAATTTTTCTTTCTTATATATCTAAGGCGAACCCCTTGCTAACATCTTGTTTCCTTAGTACACCTTATTTACCCTGGTCACTTTCCAACGATCTATTTCACCTATAATCCTCATCCTACAGTATGTTATATGATAAAGATTAAATGTTCAGAATGTGATAAACAACATAAGCTTTCTGGTGTGTTTATACTGTATAATTGGAAAACTGATTCCTATGACCCACACCTGTTTTTTAAGAGATTCTTTCAAGGATTTTAGACAATCGAAGACCTAGTTTCATGAAAATATTAATGAAGTGAATGTAGTAACAAGGAATAAAATAACACCACTAAGTTTATATTAACTGGTGTACTGCGTTCCTTTATAACAAAGGAGTTTGACTCTGAAGTAGAGCTTTTCAGAAGACTGATATTATCATCACTACTTCCAAATAATTGTACAAATGATTTGTATTTTAATCATATATAATTTGTATATGAAGAATACAGTAACACAAATAATTAAAAACTATGTATGAAAGGAACATTTTTTCAATTATCTTGTTTCTAATTGACTTGTTTACACCCTTTTAAAACATACTCCGCCCTCTGCCCAAAAAGGTATCGTAAAATTTGTATGCTTAACTGCTATGCACTTGGCAGAACTATTAAGGCATGTCCATACGACAGCATGGTGTTTGCTGTAACTCTTGCAGCTTACTAATGTAGTCTCCATAGTGATTACTGTCTCACCATTTAGGATTTATCTGATTGAATTTCCATTTCTGTAGGCTTTATCAGCCAGCACATGAAGTAACGTCAGTTGTTGTTCTGGTGGGTGTAACGCTGCACATTTTCCCATAGCGCTGGTGGGAGCATCACGTGATTTTGCCTGAAAATTTGATAATATATTAATATAGTTATAGGTAATATACATTTTTTTTTTTTCAAAAGTCAGCCGTTCCTCACCGAGCATGGTGACCCAAAAAAGAAAGAAAATCCCAAAAAGAAAATACTTTCCATCATCCTTCACACTTTTCACCACACTCACACATTATCACTGCTTTGTGCAGAGGTGCTCAGAATACAACAGTTTAGAAGCATATACGTATAAAGATACACAACATAGCCCTCCAAACTGCCAATAGCCCAAAACCCCTCCTTTAAAGTGCAGGCATGTACTTCCCATTTCCAGGACGCAAGGCCGACTAATGAAAATAACCGGTTTCACCGAATCCCTTCACAAATATTACCCTGCTCACTCTCCAACAGATCGTCAGGTCCCAAGTTCCATTCGTCCCATCACTTCCCTATCGAAACACACTGACGCATGCGTTGCGGGAAGTCCAAGCCCCTGGCCCATAAAACCTCCTACCCCTCTCTCCAACCCTTTCGAGATGACCCCTACCCGCCTTCCTCCCTATAGAATGTATATGCTTTCCAGGTCATTTCAACTTTGATCCGATCTCTCTATTGACCAAACCACCAGTCAACAACCCCTTCTTCTGCCCTCTGACTAATACTTTATTAACGCCACTCCTTTCCGAATTTCCACACCCGAATTTTCGGGCATAATACGTGTCAACCACATCATTGGCCCTTAAATCAGGACAACCACTGCCTCCAACCGCTCCTCGCTGCTGCATTTACAACCCATGCTGCACAACCCATATAAGAGTGTTGGTACACTATACAGTCATACATTTCCCCTTCTTTGCCTCTAGAACAACGTTTTTTACGCCACATATACCTCAAGCACCACTCACCTGGTTTTCACCTCATCAATTCATGATAACCTCATCCTGCATAAATCCATCCGCCAACACGTCAACTCCCAATATCTGAAAACATTCCACTTCTTCCATACTTCACCTCCCCAATTTAATATCCAATTTGGCTTTATCTAAAGCTTTGAATACCCCGTCATCACCTTACTCTTTTTCTAGTTCACGTCAACTTTCTACCTTTACTCACATTCGCCAATTGCACCCTAACCGTTGCATTTTTTCTTAGAATCCCCATAAGCACAGTATCATCAGCTAAAAGTAACTGTGGCCCAATTCCCCTTTTGACATTTGATTCCCCAAATTTAAATCCCACACCTTTCTCCCGAACACTACTCAGCATTTACTTCCTTTTACAACCCCATCGATAAATATTTTAACAACCATGGTGACAATTACACATCCCTGTCTATAGACCTACTTTTACCGGGAAGTAGTCACCCTCTCTCTACACACCCTAACCTGAGCCTCACTATCCTCATAAAAACGCTTTACAGCATTTAATAACGTACCACCTATTCCATATACTTTCACATCTGCCACATTGCTCCTCTATCCACTCTATCATATGCCTTTTCTTTCTAAATCCATATAATGCAATAAAAACGTCCCTAACTTTATCGAAATTACTGTTTCACATATATGCTTCAATTGTAAACACTTGATGCTACACATCCCCTACCCACTCTGTAACCTCCTTGCTCATTCCGCATTCCTACATCTGTCTTACCCGCAATTCTTCATTATAACCCTACCATACACGGTTCACAGGTAACTCAGTAAACTTATTCCTCTATAATTTACAGTCTCTTTGTCCTTTTACCCTTTTTATTAAGGGTCTATACATGCTCTCTGCCAATCCCTAGGTACCGTTCCCCTCTTTCATACATTTATTAAACAAAAGTACCAACCACTCAACACTATATCCCCCCCTGCTTTTAACATTTCTGTTCATGAGCCCAGCAGTTTCCAGCTGCATTAACCCCCCCTTTCATTCTACGTATTGCTCTCACGTACGCTCCCCCACACTACATTCTGCGCTTCTTCACTCCTAAATAGATGGTATACCTCCCTGACCAGTGCAGGAAATTACTGCCTACTTTCTTCCTTAACATTAAAATTCCGCAAAATATTCTTGCCATCTACCTAATACCTCCATCTCCCCAACTACTACACCCCTACTCTTTTTTACTGACAAATCCCATACTTTTCCCTAGCTTTCTTAACTGTTTAACTCTCTCCAAATTTTTTCTTATTTTCAGTAAAATTTCTTGACAGTGCCTCTCCCAACTCTATCAAATCTGCTCTCCTTTTGCACTCTCTCACCACTCTCTTACGTACTTTTACTCTCCATATACTCCTGCTCTTGCTGATAACACTTCTGCTTTGTAAAAACCTCTCATAAGCGACCTTTTCCTCTTTTATCACACCCTTTACTGCATCTTCCACCATCACTCCTCATTCCCTCCTGCCCCCAACCCGCCTAGAACCACAAACTCTGCCCCACAAGTCTAATACTGCAGTTTTTAAAACTATTCCAACCCTCTTCACCCCACCCCCCCCCACTACCTCATCTTGGGCACTAGCCCACCTTTCTGCCATAGTCGCTTAAATTCACCCGAACTTCCCTCCCTTTGTTGTATACACTTTCACACCTCCCGCTTACTTTTGTTTGCCACACCTTCCTCTTTTCCCATCTAACCTCGTACTCTAACGAGCTACAACGAAATAATGATCCGATAGATCAGTTGCCCCTCTATAAACATGTACATCCTGGAGCCTACCCATCAACCTTTTATCCACCAATACATAATCTAATAAACTACTTTCATTACGTGCTACATCATATCTTGTATATTTGTTATCCTCTTGTGTTCATAAAATATGTATTACTTATTACCAAATCTCTTTCTACACATAGCTCAATTAAAGGCTCCCCATTTACATACATGTATACATGTATTATTATATATTTTTTTAACAAGTTGGCCATCTCCCACTGAGGCAGGGTGACCCAAAAAGAAAGAAAATACCCAAAAAGAAAATTAATTCATCATCATTCAACACATGACCTCACTCATACATATCATTGTTTTTGCAGAGGTGCCCAGAATGCAACAGTTTAGAAGCATATACGTTTAAAGATACACAAAATATCCCTCCAAACTGCCAATATCCCAAACCCCTCCTTTAAATTGCAGGCATTGTACTTCCCATATCCAGTACTCAAATCCAGCTATATAAAAATAACTGGGTTTCCCTGAATCCCTTCACTAAATATGTACCCTACTCACACTCCAACCAGCTGGGGGCGTCAGGTCCCCAAATACCATTCATCTCCATTCACTCCTAACACACTCATGCACGCTTCCTGGAAGTCCAAGGCCCTTGCCCACAAAACCTCCTATACCCCCTCCCTCCAACCTTTTCGAGATGACCCCTACCCCGCCTTCCTTCCCTACATATTTAAATGCTCTCCATGCCTTTCTACTTTGATCATTCTGTCTAAATACCAAGCACATGGGCCGATTTCCCACCAAGGCAGGGGTGAATAGAAAAAAGAAAACCTTCAATCATCATACACTCCATCACTGTCTTGCCAGAGGGGTGCTTTACACTACAGATATAAAACCAACAGTAACACTCCTCCTTTAGAGTGCAGACACTGTACTTCCCATCTCCAGTACTCAAGTCCAGCCTGCCGGTTTCCCTGAATCCCTTCATAAATGTTTCTTTGCTCACACTCCAACAGCATGTCAAGTATTAAAAACCATTTGTCTCCATTAACTCCTATCAAATACGCTCATGCATGCTTACTGGAAGTCCAAGCCCCTCACACACAACCTCCTGTATCCCCTCCCTCCAACCTTTCTTCGGCCGACCCCTACCCCGCCTTCCCTCCACTACAGATTTATACACTCTCAAAGCGATTCTGTTTCGTTCCATTCTTTCTACATGTCCTAACAACCTCAGTAACCCTCCTCAGCCCTCTGGATAATAGTTTTGGTAATCCTGCACCTCCTCCTAATTTCCAAACTATGAATTCTCTGCATTACATTCACACCAAACATTGCTCTCAGACATGACTTTGGTCATTGGTCCAAGTCGACCGAAACGGCGTCGTAGCTTCGCTCTGTTTTATGTGCGGGCTATTTGTGTAACATGACATTTCCACTGCCTCCAGCCTTCTCCTCATTGCAATGTTCACCACCCATGCTTCACACCCATATAAGAGTGTTGGTATAACTATACTCTCATATATTCCCCTCTTTGCTTCCACGGACAAAGTTCTTGCTCCACAGTGACTCCAAATTGCACACACTCACCCATTTTTTCCCTCATTCTTCTAGATTCACCTCATCCTTCGGTTTTATAGACCATCTGCTAACACACTGACTCCTAAATATCTGAATACATTCACCTCCTCCATACTCTCTCCCTCAAATCTGATATCCAATCTTTCATCACCTAATCTTTTTGTTATCCTCATCACCTTACTCTTTCCTATACATGTATTCACTTTTTATTATCTCTTTTACATACCCTAACCAATTCATCCACCAACCTCTCTACTTCTCTTCAGAATCGCCAAAGGCACAGGTCATCAGCAAAGAGTCTACTGTGACAACTCCCACTTTGTGTTAGATTCTTTATCTTTTAACCCCACACCTCTTGCCAAGACCCTCACATTCACTTCTCTTACAACCCCATCTATAAATAGATTGAACAACCATGGTGACATCACCATCCTTGTCTAAGGCCTACTTTTACTGGGAAATAATTTCCCTCTCTCCTACGTGCTCTAACCTGAGCCTCACTATACTCGTAAAATATCTACACTGTTTTCAGTAACCTACCTCCTATTCGATACACCTGCAACATCTACCACATTGCTCCACTATCCACCCTGTTGTACACCTTTCCCAAATCCATAAATGCTACAGAAACCTCTTTAACCCTTACTACATACTGGTCCACCTATATGTTTTCACTGTAAACATTTTGTCCTACACACCCCCAACCTTCTTAAAGCCTCCTTGTTCTTTCTGCTATACTATGTATATATATACAGTGTATATATAGACATAGTCCAGGAGTAGGTTGGGTA